AGGTGCAGGTGTCTGGTGGTTGAGCCACTGCAGTTCAGCAGCGGCACACATCTACAAGGGGAACGCCCTCTTTCTATACCACTCCCCCCACAGTACCCCGACTGCTCTTAAAAGTTACTTCACCAAAGAGTAAGAAGTATACTTTTATTTTTTCTATACATCTGTAAAACAATTAGGACCAACATTTTGAAACAAAAATGAAGAAAAAACCCCCCTGTGGAAAAAAATGACACTGAAACAGGGACAGAGTTGCTGAGGGTCGGTGCATTAGCCCTGACAAGCTGTAGCAACTCTGATTGGTCCAAGAAATGGCAATACTGGGAGGGTACACGAGGGAGACAAAGGACAGCAATTTACTGAGGAAGTGGGCCCCGAAGTGGACCACGAGGTGGAACTGGGGGCCGTGGAGTGGGTCTGGGTGGAGGGAGGGGCCCCCGCTGGTAGCCATAGGGAGGGGGTCTTGGAGGACCAGTGTATCCATGAGGGGGCATCAAAGGAGGAGGCCCGCGCATACCGTGCGGAGGCATGGGGCCTGGGTGACCTGCAGAAAGAAAAAGAAAAGTTAGTAAGAAAGTGAAAATAAGCAGCAGTTGATGCTGACAGGACAGAAGAAATGTGAGAAGCCACACAGGGCAGGGGACAGGGCAGTGACAAAATGCTGTGAGAAGACACGCAGAACTGACAGCTCAGCCACACAGGCCCCATAACCCCAGAACCAAGGCAGGAGAAACAGGAGGAGCAGGAGCCAAGGCTACCCAGGAGAGTAGAGGCTGTCTCTCACACACATAGAAATGTACGTGCGAATGGGTAAGAAAGGGGCTAGCACACACTCACCCATGGGAGATCCAAAAGGAGGCCCTCGGGGGGGCATGCCCATGGGAGGAGGTCCAGGATGCGGCATTCCAGGAGGTGGCCGGGGTGGTGGCTGTCCTCCAGAGCCTGGAGGCCCAGCATGAGGGTGTCCTAGGCCATGGGGGCCATGGTGGGCCAGCTGCATCTGGGACATCCCTATGAAAATAAAACAAAGAGAAAGGAGCAAAGGGCAAAGAAAGAACAAAATGACCAGAGAGACACGAAGAATATTAAAACAGGGCTGGCACTGTCCTTCGCTCTGTCAACAGTAAGACTCAACCAGTTCTGTAGGCTCTTCACTTTCCTTCCATGATTTTATTTTTATATCAATACTTGTCTGAAGGTGACTGACAGCAGTGGCCAAAGTAGTCACGCTGCTAATTTACCTCCAAGTTTGTTTAGCACATCAGAAATATCTTTTCTCTTGATGTGAAGAAAAAAGACAATGAAATGTGCACTCATTTTTCTACGATTCAAGCACAGGGATGTTGACAGCAAAGTATACAACAGCAAAACTTTTGCTCTAAAACAGGACTTGGGACGGTGGCAGTCATACCCCAGGGCAAAGGCTTAATTCTACAAGACCAATGAGATCTCCCAGCAGCAAGGTGAGGCCACACACTGAGTTCGAGGCCAGCCTGGTCTACAAGAACTAGTTTCAGGACAGCAGAGCTATACACAGAGAAACCCTGACTCAGGAAGCTCACACCTGCATTCTCTAGCATGTTGAAGACTGAGGTAGGAGGATCAGTAGCAGATGAAGAACAACCTTAGCTACCTAGAAAAGTCGAGACCAGTTTGGGCAATATGAAACTCTGGCTCAAAAAACAATACAAACTAAATCATAAAAAAATAAAATAAACGCCAGACAGTGGTGGTGCACGCCTTTAATTCCAGAACTTGGGAGGTAGAGATAAGGCCTGCCTGGTCTACAGTGCAAGTTCCCAAAAATCAACAAAAAAAAAGGAAGCAGAAACATCACCTAGATTTGGCAGATTTGGTCTACAGAGATAGTTCCAGGACATAGAGAAACCCTGTCTCGAAAAACCAAAAAAATAAACTCTTTCTTGCCATAGTAATGCATACTTTTAATCTCAGCACGAGGGAGGCAGAAACAGGTGGGTCTGTGTGCATTTAGGCTAGCCTGCTCTACAGCATTCCAGGCCAGCCAGGAACATACTGTAAAGCCACCACCAGCATTGAAAAAAGGTTCCTTAAGAGGACAGCAGAGTGGACATCAACTGCTCCCGGCAGAAAGTCTGGCGGGCACACACTGCCAAACGGCAAATATGGAAATACTAATAACTGGGCCATCAGGAGAACCTGAGGATGGAGTGCTCTGGCAATTTCAGTAAGTGACAGAACAGAAGAATTTTAAGGACATGTCTATGAACATCCTAGAAAAATCACTAAGTAAAAGTAGATTAAAGACAGAGAAAATTAGAGTCAAAGAGACAGAAGATCACATGTGCAGGAGAGCAGGGTGCTGGCTTGGGGCAAAGGGCAGGAACATGCGTTAGATTCGCAAGTGGACGACAGAACAAACTCCCAGAGTTGGGAACTTAGCGGCTACAAACAAGGGCGGTAGAAGGTTCTTGGAAGGAAAGAAAAGCAACCTGTGGATTGTCTAGCCTGTCATCAAGATCCATGGACCAGAGACCCAGAAGGAATCAGTACCTGCACATTTAACACTACAGATAAACATAGAAAAGAGAACCAAACATAAAATCTACACAGACAGAGAAGGGGGCCTGGCCCAGGTTGCTAAGGTTGGTAAGTCACATGGAGAATAAAGAAAAACAGAAAAACACAAAAATTTCAAACAGGAAGACATGACTAGTCACATGCATAGCAGTGGTTGAGAAGCAGAAATGGCTGGTTGGTGGTGGCGCCATCTTTAATCCCAGCATTTGGGAGGCAGACAGGCAGATCTCTTAAGGCCTGCCTGGTCTACAGTGCAAGTTCCCAAAAATCAACAAAAAAAAAAAGGAAGCAGAAACATCACCTAGATTTGGCAATGGAGTTACTACCTGGGAATGGGAGGAGGCTAAGAGTAAAAACAACAGCAATGGAGTTACTACCTGGGAGTGGGAGGAGGCTAAGAGTAAAAACAACAGCAAGTACAGCCTATTCTGCAGAAAATGTAAAAGCTGGAGATGAAGTGGGAGCGTATTGCTTTCTGACAAAAAGGGGAAGTCTGGACTGCTTCCTCCCAAGACAAAGAGCAGCGGCCAGGCAATGACCAAGATACTCTCACAAGCTCAGCTCCTCTTCCCAGCAAAGAGCACTCACCTGGATGGGGCATCCCACCTGGAGGGAACGGGTGAGGATGTGAATGCCCGTGACCAGGATGTCCAGCTCCTGGAGTTCCCGCTGCTGGGGGGCCATGTCCTCCAGCCCCAGGTGGCATCGGTGGCGGGGGCATAGCTGGGGGTATCCCAGGAGGCAGGGCTCCAGGAGGTGGCACCGGAGGTGGGAAGGAGCCAGGAGGAGGCATGCCTGTGTAAGAAGCAAGAGTTAGTACTAGTGTCCAGCCTCCTCCCAGCACACTGAACCCCAGCCTCCTGAAGACACCCAACAACTTCGTCCCTTCCACCACCACTCCCCATTCTTTCTCGCTGCCCACTGATTTAACGGCTCACTCCTTCAGGGCCTTTTCTGCCCCCTGACCCTCCCTCCTATGGGCCTCACTGGTGTAGTTTGAACTAAAAGCTTTACCTGGTGGAGGAAGTCCAGAACCCAGGGATGAAACCACAGGGTTGGGGGCAGAAGGTGGAGGGGGTGCGTCCGCAAACAGCTGATGAGGGCGGTCAGCCTGGGACAGAGGGTTCTGAGCTGCCAGAAGTCGCTCTGCCGCTGAGCCATGGCGCTCGCCCTTCGAGTCCTTCTTGAAGGCATAGGACACAGTGATAGGGCGGTTACACAGGTACTGCCCATTCATGGCCTCGATCGCTGCGTCGGAAGCGTCAAATGAAGCAAAGTTAATGAAGGCATAGCCCTTGGAGTTGCCCGTGTCAGGGTCCCGCATGATCTTGGGGGTTTGTAAGATGACCCCAAAGGCGCTGAAAGTATCATAGAGCAGCTTCTCATCGATTTCGGGGTCCAGGTTCCCAATGAAAATGTTGGCCCCTACGTCCAGGTTTTTGTTGTGAGCGGAAGCCTTGTTCACCCGAATCGGCTTTCCATAGAGTTTGATCATGTTCATGATCTTAATGGCATAGTCGGCATCCTCCTCACTCAAGAACTCAACGAAGCCATAGCCTGCGGAATGGGAGCAAAGACTACTCAGGTGAAGGGCAAGCGAGCATTATTAACTCACCAGCCTCCAAACAAGGGCCAGGACGGAAGAGGAACCTCGCTTTAGCTGAGAACAATTCCAGTAACTTCAAACTAAAGCTAAGAGAATACTCCAGAAACAAACTACGAACTGAAGCTCCTTCCAGAACAGTTGAGACTACTACGGTGAGACTCTTCAGGGGCCGTTAACCCCACGTGGAGTTAATTCTTGCCATATACTCACCTTGGTGCTGGCCAGTGACTCTATCCTTCGGCATGTGGGTGTTGACCACTGGCCCTGCCTGGAGAAAGAGTTCCCACAGCAGAGGTTCACTTACTTTCTCGTCTAGACCGCCCACGTACACCGTGGCATCTAAAGCGAGGGAGCAGAAGATAAAGGCAAGGTCAGGAGTTAGAAGGAAAACAAAAATGAAAAACGCTAACTAAGGCGCTGAAGCCTCCCTCTGCCTGCCTAGTCGAGAAAGTCCGCTGAAGTCGAATTCGGCGCTCTTTCCTGGTGGGCTTCTGTCTGTCTGTGGATGGTAGTGCCGAAGGGACTAGATCTAGAAGCATCACCCCTTACAGGCCTCGGCCTGCACCCGGCCTCCAGGCCCAGCACCCAGAGGCTGGCCTCACACCGGGGGAATCTAGTCTCCCACCCTGGCAGAAACGCTTCTGGCACTAATCCGCCCTCCACCTCTCCTGGGTCCATCTTGGGCTCTTCTCTCTCAGTTACCCTGATTCCGTTCGGAGATCGGTCCGGCAGCCATGGCGAAAAGGCTCCCGCCGTCTCTAAGCAGCAGCACCGCCCTCTGACCTCAGTTACTACTTCCACTTCCGGGCCAAGGCTCACATTGGGCGGGGCCGGGGGGAGGAACCGGAAGCGACCGCGGCCATCTTAGGTGTCCGCTTCATGTCTGGAAAGACGCTCCGCAGCTATCACAACACCGGGACGGAACCGAAGCTCTCGGCCCCTCTTGGTGCAGTTCTCGACTGTCAGAGGATCACACTGCTCCCCAAGTGCAAACTCAAGTGCTAAGCCGAGCTTTGTATGTTCCGTGACGCAGAGACGTGTGCTGGGGGGGGGGAATCACTGGGCGGGGGGCGGGGGCTCCCCAGGCCTGCCTTCTGAAGCAGCCTAGTATCTCAGTCCACGCCCCTCCTGCAGATCCGCCCTCAGCCCTGGCTTGAGCTCCAGGTAGATTGTTTTAGGCTCCTGAAGTGTCTGAGCTCCGCTAATGTTTGGGAAATGAGAGGCCCAAGGCCAGTATTGAAGCTTTCCGAGGCTTCGGAGTCAACCTCCACAACACACTCTGGTCTCAGCAGCATCACGTTCTTGACCCATCGCCTACATAAGAGACACAAAGAAAACCTTTCCCTGGGCATGGTGGGCGTGATGGCACCTGTTAATCTCAGCACTCAGGCTGGTGGATCTCGAGGCCAGCCTGGTCTACAGAGCTAGTCCCGGGACAGCCAGGGCTACACACACAAAACCTGTCTAGGAAACAAAACAAAAAAAAACTCAGCAAGGACAGCCAGGACTACACTGAGAGACCTGTCTCAAAAAAGAAAAAAGTAAGGGGGGGGATACCCTTCTGTCCCCACATTTCATGTGAACTGGGCCTAGCCCCACCTGACTTGTGTCCTTTATTTCCTTATCAATAACATGAGTGCCATTCTCTCCGTTCATACTTTTCCCCCAACTGCCTTGCTGAGATCATCATTCAACACAAGAAACGCTACCAGCAGTGCGTAGAAATACTGTACTTTAATGAACTCCTTAAATAGAAATACCACTACAAAAATACACAGTGGGAGGGGAGGGTGTCTCCCTTATTCACCTCGTTCCGTAGAAGACTAAAAGACCGGGTTTCAAAGCCGTGGTGAGGCTTGAGAATGAGGTCTCTAGGACACCTTGGGACTGTGATCTAAAAGGTATGGTATTGCCTCGAGGGCGGGGCGGGGGACGGCAAACACATTCTGAACTGGTTTTATTTCTTATTCTTCAAATCAAGAGAAACAAAAATAGCTCTAGTAACCAAACTAGACAGGGGAGCTGGAGGGAGCTGGAGGTTGGAAGCGCCCGCCTCTGCTACAGAGACTCACGCAGGGAGTGAGCTCCTTTATGGGCTGGGATGTGAAAACTGAGCACCAAAGTCAGATACAAAGAAAGCTTCGCAGAACCGCCCCTCCATCCCTTCTGCCCTGCCTTCCAGAATGCTAGCAGTTTCAACGGATCTGAGAGAGCATGGTATTTGGATCTCTTTTCTTGCAGTGATCCTCGGGAGATACTCTTGGTGTCAACTTTCTTAATAGTTCCTGGAGACAAGAGAGCTCGTCCTGGAGGCCAGAGACTGTAACTGCTGAGGAGCCCATCTGGGGAGGAGAAAAGAAGGGCACAAAGGTATATTGTTGCAAGTCTAGCTGGTTTGCTTGCTTTTTTTGTTTTGTTTTGTTTTTTTTGTTTTGTTTTGTTTTTGTTTTGTGTCTTTCAATACATGGTTTCTCTGTGTAGCCTTGGCTGTCTTGAAACTCACTTTGTAAACCAGGGTAGCCTGGTCTACACACAGGCATGAGCCCCTGCTATCTGGAAAGGAGTAGTATCTATTTTTAAGATCCTTGCTACTTCTAGAGTCTTAAATGCTCCTTCCTCTACTGCCTGTGCCCTAGATTCTACATGACTCAAGCCACAGGCAGTTTCCCACCACCTATTAGCCCAAGTGGATAAACAGTACCCCAGCTTGATAGATAGAGTACCCCCAGTTCCTCCAGCCTGTTGTCTTTCCAGCTCTTTCTCCCCCTCCAGTCTGTCTTCCCTTCTCACCTGGACCTCAGGCCTTCCCCTCAGGTAACAACGTTTCCAGAATCTGATCTGAGGTCCCAGATACCCAGGCAGCAGTAGCCCAGGAGGTAAAGGGCAAGCTCCCCAGTGTGAGGGGAGCCCCCATTCTTGATCAGCTAGGCTTTCGGAGGCTCTAGCAGGTCGAGGGAGCCAATGAGAAGAGACTGCCAGCAAGGAGGGACTGTCTTGCCAAGGACAGAGCTGATTTAGGGGTGTCAGGGCCCCTCTAGAGAACAGCCACACAGAACTGAGGGGTCCAGGAACCATGAAGCTTTTCTAAAAAAGAAAGTGAAGTCAGCAGGCACCCGAGAAAACGACTGCTTTCTCAAGTGTGTGTGAGGGGTCCAGCTGCCGCCCACGCGTGGTCCCACTAGGCTCAGGGTTTCAGGGTTATTAGGTTCATCTTTAGAGAAACTTGTAATATATGGACATGAAACAAGAAGACTAGCAAACAGAAATGAAGACAGTGGTCTTGCTGAAGACAGGCTACACATGACAGCTTTAAAAGACCTGGCTGCTTTCTCTGAGGAACTTCAATATCCTGTCTTTCTACATCATCTAGTAGTGTGAATCTGAGAAAGTGAGGGAAATTGAAGGGTAGGCATTTTACCTGTTGTCTGGGGAGCCAGGAATCTGGGCAGTGCTCCGGATTGTATCCAGGATTAAGGAATTGTGATATCTGTTCCTTGCTGTAGCGTAAATCCCAGTCCCAGACAGACAGATGTAGATTAGCAGAGCTCCCAGCTAGGGGCTGGGAGTACTCAGGGGGGTGAACTTGTGTGAAGGAGTTGAACTGGACAGCGGAAGCAAGAGAAGGGGTGGTTAGAGCTCGGGACGAGGCTTCGTGGAGAAAAGCACTGCCGTGTGAATCTGAATTCCCAGAACCCACACAAGGCCAGACACATAGCTCAGGGGCGGCGACCTCAGTGCTTCCACAGGAAGGCGAGAGGCAGACACAGGAGAGCCCCTGAGAGTGCAGGTGCCAGCAAGGCTGGAGTGTGCGAGTGTGCAGCAGACAGCAGTAAGTGAGGACTGACGCCTGAGCTTGCCCTCCGACCGCAGGCTCCTATGGCGTGCACACATCCACATTCACACACATATATGTGCATGCGCACACACAAATTTTAAATGGATTGTTAAACCAGTGTGTGTGTGTCCACCTGTCCTATGTCTACAAACCCTCTTCTTATTTCAGGCATCACATGTAGAACAAAAGTCTAATCTCAAGAGGGGGCTCCCCCAACCCCTTCCACATACCTCAGTTTTCATAAATCAAGACCAAATCTCAAAGTTTGAATACTCTACTGGGGGTGGGGGGGAACAACTATAGAGATCATTGACCTGCCCACTCTTCTTCCCACGCTCCCAGGGAGTGTCTTTCAGGAAGGTGAGGGTGTCAGGAACCCAGATGCTGTCATGCAGAGCAAGAAGGAAAAACTCAGAGAACTCAAATTCAGCTGGAAACTGCTGGAGGAGCTGCCAGGCACAGTCAAGGAAGAGAGGAAACACTGGGGCCTTAAAAAAAAAAAAAAAAAAAAAAAAAGAGGTTAGAGAGTCTACAGGGATCTAAAGAAGGGGATAGCAAAATACAAGAGAGGGCCCAGGAACAGGACACTAAGGAGGTCAGAACTGAGAGCACTAGGATGTGAGCCTGACCCTGAGTGTCCACTCGGACTGGATTCACTTCCAGTGGGTCAGCCTTGGTCATTCTTTCACCCTCATTTCCTTCGGAATGACTGTCCCTCCCCCCGACAAAACCTAAAGTGTTCTCACCTCCTCACTGCTCCCAGTTTCCCCAAGCCTGGTCAGGAAAGGGTGTCCAGCTGCCACCCACTCTCGTTGCACTAGTGACTGGAAACCAAACAATGTTCGGGCTTCAGGGGCCAAAAGCAGCTGGACGAGTGAAGAGAGGAGGCCATTGAAATCACGGTCCCCACGTTCTGGGTGATGAAGAAGGAACAAAAAAGGGGATCCGAGAAACTAGGGCAGGAGGGAATGAGAAGAGGAAACATGGGAGAGGACAGGAGGGGCACGGGGAGGAAAGGAGAAAGCAAGATGGAAAAGGCACAGAGAAGTGAAGAGAAAACAAAGCTCAGATGAATCATTTCATAGACTTTACCTTCTAGAAACATCCATTGTCACAGAGGAAGCAAAGCCACACTTCCCAAACTACCCTCCCAGGTGCCCTTCCTGGGGACAGGTCCCCATCCACTGATGAAGGGGTGAGAGGGACTAAGAGCATCTTATTACAGTAGGGAGACTGCATAGCTCTGAAGGAGGCCTTGGCACAAGTGCTTTCTAGAGCAGAAAGACGCTAGAATTTAAGGGCGCAAGGAAGCTCTACGGATCCTCCAGTCACATGAAGGAAAAGGTCAGGACTACAAGGAGCTGACCCAAGGAACTCACCTTGAAGTACTACAGAACGGACCCGAGATGTCACTAATACTGAGATGTCACTGGCCTTGCGAAGACAAGACCTGTAGGGGCATGTGAGGAAGGGAGTAATGGATTAGGAGAGAGGCAGATTTCCAAACACCTGCTCCTTCTAAGAAACAGTAGTATAGTCTTCTTGGGAAACTGAGGGGATAATTTATGGAAGGCCATTGGAAAGCCCAAGACAAGAGAAGGCTGGAGAAGTTGGATTTTATTTTGTTTCGAGACAGAGTCTTACTAGTATCCCTGGCTATCCTGGAACTTGGCTAGGTTGGACTTGAACTCATAGACATCCACCTGCCTCTACCCTCTACCTCTGCTGCTGCCTTGAGTGCGGGGATTAAAGGTGTGCACCATTACATTCGGCTACAAGTTGGAATTATTAACCAAAATTAGAAAGTTGAGCATACCTGACATAGTCCAACCATCGTGTTCCTTCCAAGGCTGAGAGCCACTTATCTTCAGCTACAGAAGAATCTAGCAGAGAGGGATCAAGAAAGGCAAAGAAATCAGGATCCAGGTTTATACCCTAATGGGTTAAAGTCTGATAGAGAGGGTAAAGGAGATGGCTCAGTGGTTGAGAGCATTAGCTGCTCTTCCAGAGGACCAGGTTCAATTCCCAGCAACCACATGGCAGCTCACAGCTACAACTCAAGTTCCAGAGATCTGACACCCTCACACCAATGCACATAAAGGGGTATCACTCACTCCTTTAATCCCAGCACTTGGGAGGCAGAGGCAGACAGATGTCTATGAGTTCGAGGCCAGCCTGGTCCACACAATAAGACCCTGTCTCAAAAAAGCAAAACAAAACAAAATGTTTTAGTAGTTGGAGCTAGATAGATGGCATGGGGTTAAGAGTGCATATCACTCTTCCAGATGACCTGAGTTTGATTCTCAGAGCCACCTGTAACTCCAGATCTAGGGGTTTGGCACCATTGGCCTCCACAGGCATCCCCAAATACACAGCATACAGACATATGTGTACACATGATTAAATATAAAGGAAGGCCTTGGGTTTTATCCTGCGCATTTAAAAAAGTATACAATATAGTAAATAAAATTCACTGTACACTTAAGATGGGTAGAGTGAATTTCATAAAGATTTTTTTTTTCATTTTTGTTTTGAGACAGTGTCTCAGAGCCCATGCAGGTATGTGTGTGCCACTGGACCCATATTCAGCCAGCAGTGAAGTTTTATTTTTAAAGTTGGGGAACAGAGTGTGGTAGTGCATGCCTTTAATCCCAGCACTCATGAGACAGAGGCAGGCAGGTGGGTCAGTGAGTTTGAGGCCAGCCTGGTCTACATAGTGAGCTACAGATCAGCCTGGGCTACATGTAAGACTCTGTCTTAAAGAATAAGAAATCAAAACAAAACAAAACAATTTGGGGGAAAACAGGCTATTGGTAATCTGTAAGTGAGGAAGATGGGATAGAAAAGTGAAGGTTCATGGGTTAAAGGGCTATTCATCTATAATATACAAAATAGTAAACCAGGGTAGAGTTGAGGGCTCACAGGTTATTCTCACCAGGCAGGCAAAGGGCCCTCAGCTTCACGTGGGCAAGCTGGATGTCAGCAAGACTAGGCATCTCGTCCATAGAATCTACCAAGACAACATCAGGGTGCCCAGCCTGTAGCATGGACTCCACTGCTCTGCAAGGAAGGAAGAGAGTCAGGAATTACAGCAAGGCATCTCCTTAGAATACCTAGCCCCAAGTGTCATCGCAACTCTTCACCTGATATCTTCTTTGTTAGGGTCACTGGCTACATAGAAGCCTCCACATCGGAGAAGGTCACTGCCGCTGGGGTGGTGCCAGGACAAGCGCTTCATAAGGATGAGAAGAGGGTCATTGTGGAAGAACTATTCTTAAGCTACCCTTGTCCCGACAATGACCTCACAGGAAGCCCTCCAATCCCTTTTCCCTTGACCCTCTAATCTCAGACTGACCGGTCCACGGCCCTGCTGGAAGTGGGCAAATGCTCTTCTGACCTCACTGTCCAGAATTCGATTAGGGACCCAGAAGTAACCTGAGAGGCTGCAAAATAAAGAGTGATGTCACAGCTTGTCAGTGACCTCTGCTAATAGGAAGTTATTTTGGAAAGACCATTCCAAGGGATCTCAGGTTTTAAAAACAGAGGTAACAGAGCCTGGAGTTTATGGGAAGTACTGGCTTAGAGGATCAAGGAACTTTGGGAAGACTTGGAAGGCAGCAGGAGTCGAGGTGGATGGGGACATCACCTGGTAGCCATGTCGAACCTCTCATTGACTGTGCTAACCCTCCAGCCTCTGGCCCCCTGCTTATTCCGCTCAGCTTCCCAGTCTTCTAAAGTCTCTAAGAGAGGAATAGGTGGTTTTCTGGAGCCAGAAACCTTGTCTGGAGCAAGAGTGAGATACAGAGGAAAAAGAAATATTTTATCCAACTAGCCCCTTCCATTTCAGACTCTTCCCATCTCCTTAAGCTAAGGCATCCTCACTTACCAGCTTTGCTCAGGGTTGTTCCTCTGTAGTGCTGGGTTTGACTACTCAGAGCTCGGGCCTGAACAATGGCCGTGGTTACCTGGAGAGGAAAACACATTCCATCCTTTAGCCTCAGACTAAAGTAAAAAGAGTGAAACGGAGCACATGTTGCTCTACCATCTTTACCACCAATAGTGCAGAGAAGCTAAAGCAGGCCCCAGAGAAGGGGACCTCCACAGGAGGTGCTGGGATCAGAGGAGCAAACCCACAGACTCAGAACATTAATTTGGGGGAGGAACCTTGGGACTATTATCCAACTCTCCACATTTTTCAGAAGTAAAAACTTACCCATAGTTACTGCCTGTAACCGACAAAGGCAGACTACAGTTCAGGCCCCTCCCACTCATGAGACTCCTGCTCATGAGACTATCACTCCAGTTTTTTAGTTTCTTGAGTGGAGTGGACTGGAGCATGGAGAAGAGGCTTGGTTCCTAAGGTGAAAAGAGTTCTTCAAATGAAAGGGTTCTTACCTGAAAGGCCTGAGGTTCTAGTCCTCCAACCTCAAAACCAACTCGAAGTAGACGGAAGTCTCTGCCATGAATGAGAATCTCCTCTGGGATGAACTTAAGCTGGGACCCCGGACGGAGGAGCTGCACTCTTGACAAGCCACTCACTGAAGCAAGAGGCAAAGTAGAATAGCCATGGGTCACTCTGGGAGGACTCCCTGCAGTCCAGCCTGCCCCACCCCTTGCAGTCTTATGACACCCCTTTTATAAAACCCTCAGGCTTACCAGCCTCTAATCGCCCAATGTTGACCAGGGCAAAATCATATTCACTGCTCAGGGGAGTGTCCTAAAGGAAGCCAAGACTGGTGTTATTGACCTTTGACAGCCATCATTGTCCCACCTTAGTGACTCCTCTCTCCCCTCCCCAGTAGAAGGCAACTTCCCTAGAAATAATTCCTACTATCAATGATACATCCAAAAGAAAACCCCTAATCCTATTTGTCCAAATCCAGACTCCCTTGCTGTTCACTCTAGCTGTCTTTTTATTTTTTCCGGTAACAAGAGTATTGCTATGTAGCCTAGGCTAGCCTGCAACACTCATGGTCTTCCTATCTCAGCCTCAGGGGGAGGGTATTACAGGTCACTGCTGCCATGCCCAGCTTCTGCCTTGTCTATTATCCTAACCATCTCACCTGATTTCGCTGCCATCCACAAGGTTGGAAAGTGACCCTAAAGTTAGTGCAGATCAGAGTTCCAGGCAGTTCCAGTTCTTGCCCCTTCCTCAGCCCTGGTGCCCATGCTAGGATCTTCTCCCCTAAAACGGAAAAAAGGAAGCAAAGTTCTAACTGTTCCCTGTGCTGCCCACACATCTACATCTCTACTCCTCTTTCTAGAATGGAAGATAGAAATGATTTGCTTTTTTTCTCTCTCTCTCTCCAGACAGGGTTTCTCTGTGTAACAGTCCTCAGTCCTGGCTGTTCTGGAACTCACTTTGTAGACCAGGCTCCAGGCTGGCCTCGAACTCACAGAGATCCACCTGCCTCTGTGTCCCAAGTGCTGGGATTAAAGGCATGCACTGCCATCACCACCTGGCTATGATTTGCATTTTTTAACCTCTAAAAACTCAGTGTACAAAACACGGCACATAGTAGACAGGCAATGATCATGGACTAGTTAATGAAAAAAAAAAAGGGGGGGCTAACCAAGGCAAGAAAACAGAGGGAACATTGAGGTTCCCCACCAGCTCTGGGGAGACAGGAGAGCAGGCCTCAGGCAGAACCACTTCAAGGCAAGGAATCCAGAGCTATCTCTGGTGAGAACATACGAAGGCTGGGGTAGGAGGAATCCTGACGGAGTCTTGGGAAGTCAAATTATTACCTGGGAGACACCCAGAGGCCAGGCAACCGCCAAGCTGATGACTGCTGGGCTCCGGCATCTTGTTGCCTCCGCCAGACTTGGGTCCAGAGAGCTGAGAAGGGGAGAGTTAATCTGAAACTTCCCAACCTCAGGATCTGGGATTTCTTCAGCAGCTGCTGTCAGGGACCCACACTGAGCCTCTCCCTCTCGGGGAAACTGAGACCAGTGACTGCCAGGAGCTCAGGCCTGGGGCTGGCAGACAGGACAGGGAGGGGCTAGTTAATGGATAATGAGACAACTCGAGACTGAAAAGGACAGAGCAAACTCCCTGGCAGTTGATAAACAGATACACCCTCCTCCTCTGGACCCTTTGCGTCCCTCTTAATTTCCACAGCATCCCCATTCACACAGTCTTGCCACCCCTCCCCCCCACCATTCCTTCTCCTTACCCCCATCTCTGGCTCCTCCTTCTGGGGGGCAATGTTGAAACTCTGGCCCCGGCCCCCCCACCACATTTCCCTGACTCCATCCGGGAGTGGAGCAGCTAAGGGTGGGAGTTCTCAAAGATGCTCACTCTCTGGGGAGAGGCTAAATCCTAGAGGTTGGGAGAAAGGCCAGGGAGGACTCGGGAAACAGCCTTTGGGATGTGAAGAGCACAGTTCCGGTGGTCTTACTTGAAAGGTGTGTCCTGCCCAGACAGGGGAGGCTCTTTGGAAACTTCGGTGACTCTAAAGAGGGCAGGCGAGATGCCCAACCCCTTAAAGGAGAATACGCACAATTTTTTTTGGAAAGTAGAAAGGAAATGGAGGATCTTAAGAAAGATGGGAGAAATGGGGTAACTGGGGAATACCCAAATTCCCTTCACCCAATCCCACATTCTAGTCTCTTTCTGTTCGTGAATATTAGAGGTGTGGGGGCAGTAATACAATTATTAAATAGAAACATTTTGGGCTAGCTCTTTCAGTGGAAACGAAATACTAGGAAATTCAAGTGTTTTTGTTTGGTTTATTTATGGGTTTGTGATTATGTTGTTATTTTGGCTTTGTTTTGATTTTCATCCTCCACTGACAAGCTAACGACGGGTTGAGAAGAGGATGTAAATGGGAACAGGACCTTGTGTCCTTTTCCGGAGAGCGTGACAGGCCGAGGGGCAAGTGGAGTGGGCGGAAGTTGGTGCGTCTAGGATGCAGACGTAGTACAGGTATTTTGGCGTGCAAATCTCGACAGTGGGGCAGGGGAGAGGGGAGGCGGGTAGAAAGCCCCGGAAAAACTCGTAGTATCTAACCCAGCCTTTACTCACAGAAAGCGCACCTCCCTGTTCCTGCCCTCACCTATTCCCCTGGAAAGCCCTGCCTCCTCCCCTCCAACCCAGTCACCAGATCTCCTAATGAATGATTCATGTTCTGGACTTTGAAAGCTAAGGGTTGGAAACCTTCTTTCAGCTCCAGGATCACATAGCCCATCTCCTTCCCTGCTTAACTCCAGGAGCAGAGATGGGGGTGGGGTGCTAGGAGACACGGACCGGAGATGGAGGTGGGGAAGGCAACTCGAGGGCAGCATGTTTCGACACGGAAAAGACAGGAAATGAATACAAAATTGGTGTTAATGAGCTGCTGTTTTATTGTTTCTGAGTCTGTACAGAGGCAGCAATCCTAAGGTGGGGGCCGTGACATCCAATACTCCCCTCCCCACAGCACACATCCTTCCAGCCTCAGCTTCCCAAGTTCTCAGTGTTGGCTGCAACTGTGGAAATAGTGAAGCTAGCCCGAGCAGCGTCAGTCTGGAACAAACAGGTATGTACTTGCTAGCAAGAGCCCCAGAAACCTGACTGTAGGAGTCCAAAGGGCCACTGCCCACCACCACCCCACCCCACACCTCAGTGTCTTGTAGAATGAAGTATGGGCTGTAAGAAGGAAGCAGCATATAGAGAGGTGTGCCCCACCCCCCCATGGTTTAAAATCCCATGATCCACTTTTCTTCTCCCAACCTTCTTTTTTAGGAGAGCCTCATTCTATTTAATACCTCAAGGTATGGACACAGCAAAATACAGAGGAAGGAATAGTCAGAACTGGGAGAAATCAGAGAAATAAATTGGGTGATTTGGACCATCACCTAACCAGAAATACGAAGGGGTAGCAGCCGTGGGTTAGGTAACGGAAGACTGCAGCACAAACCCAGATGTCCATGGGATGGAAAGGGCATAGAGAGGCAAAGAGCTCTATCAGAGTTTTTCATTTTCAGACCCCTATTTTGGTTACAGGTTTGTGCCAGGAGCAAGGGCTGTTGGGAGGGGCAGCTGGAGGAGGGAGGTGGAGCTGAGTGACTCAGAGGATGAATCACAGATCCAGTTATAAACACAGAAAGAGGCCAAGGTCCTTCCCAGCCCACTCCTTAGACAGCTTCTGCTGCCCCCAACCCAGACAGCCAGTGGAGGAAGGGGACACAGGAATTCTACATGGAAGCATAGCAGTTAATCAGCTTAAGCACAAGAGGCAATGCACCCTAATTTGTAACTGGGTATCTAAAAAATATTAAGAGACAGAGTGCCTCTATGACTCATTGACTCTGCAATTGGAGATGGAGGGAAAGAAGACAATTATGAGACTCTGGGGTACATGTGTTCCTAAGCCAGAAAATGGCTTCCAATTCACCTATGGCTATATGGCTGATACTGCCTCCTTGGAAAATGAGGGCACAGTCCAGAGGTGTCTGAGTAACTCACAATTATTTTCCAAATGCTCCTTTATTGAAGGAAAAACAAAGTGCCTGGAACCTTGGGCATGTGACTGAAGGAAGAAAGGCAGGAGCCAGATCTCAGAGAACCAGCTCCATTCTCTGGGCTCAGGATCACCTCCCAAGTGTACAATATAAAATCATGCTAATTTTTGCTTTATTGGTCTGTGGCCTTTGGAAGCCTATAGCAAGGAAGGTACTTCTACTTTAAGGCACAGCAGGGAGCTTAACACCATCCGTCACTCTTAGAAATTGCATCTTAAAAACTAAATAAAAAGATAACAATGTATATTTATAAAACACAGTATGAGGAAATCTTTTGCAATTCTCAATTAAGCCAGCATGAGTTAAGAGGAAGGATGTGGAGGCTGGCCCTCTAGTGTATTTGCTGTAAGCTGGGAACACAGAATGTAGGGTGGAGAGAGTGCAACCATGTTAAAGTGAAAGGAGAAAAATAAGAACCCTGAAGATCTCCTCTCTGCATCCCACTTCAGCAGAAGCCCAGATGCCCTGGATTGACAGGAATAATTGCACTTAAATGGAAGCCTGAGAGATGAGGCCATGCCTCATCTAAAGATACAGGGTCTGCCTTCCGTCACTCATGTGACCTCCTAAACAAGGGAGGTTCTACTCACTTGAAAGCCCCCACATGGCCCTCCCTTCCTTCTCCCCACCACAGCAATTGCATGGGCTCATCTATCCCAAAAGCCAGGCCAGTCCTTATCTGTTTTGTTTTCTAGACATTATTAACTCCATCCTATTCAACCCCTCCTTCACCCCAAAAAGAATGAAAAATAAAGTTCACCACTCTTATTTTAAAAAAGAATGTTGTCTCAGAGAATGGAGAGGCCTTTTGGTGTCTTAATAGTCATCCTCCCCATTGAAAGGGATTTAACAAGAAGTTAAAGGGCCTAAGACCCATTTTCCACACGATCTTAGAACACCCTTCCCTTTCCCTGGAACTTCCTTTTATTTTTGCTTTGGAAAGGCAAACAATTAAGATTGGGTACCATATAAATAAAAACAAACATGATACAAGGTTTCTGTTTCTCTTCATTTGTCCTCAGTTTTTAAAAACAAGAGTGGTAAATACAATCTAATAACAGATCAAGTCCAAACACAGCAGCCCAGAGGAGAGCAACTCCCCTGGTTTTACTTGATAGGAAAACCCCTGCCAGGCTCTCTGTTCCTATCCACTTAGGCAGGCATCTATGCAGGGTATGGGAGAATGACTGAGCAGTGCACACCATGGTGTCTGTAGTGTCAAAAAGGAGAGGCTCATCTGGTAAAGGCTTCACCAGTGTCATTCAAACCAGGAACCGGGACAAGTCTAAAGGGATGAGAACAAGGCACAGGCATTCATTCACCTTGGGAGAAAAACTGAAGGAGTGCTTAAAACCAGGAATCAAGATAAATACTATCTTGATGCAATAGTTTTTTAAAAATCAAAAAATGTTTAAAAAGAACAAACTTTATGAACATATCAAAATTTAAATAGACAGGATTTGTCCTCATAGTTGTTCAATTCAGGGCTCACTTCTTTACCTTAACACCAATTCCTGTTATATCTCAAGATTTTGATGTTTTGGTCAATCTGGGTTTTTATATTATGTTTCTATACTTGACAGTGTGACCCCAGCACTTGGGAAGCTGAAGCAAGAGGGTCATACATTTGAGGCCAGCCTAGGCTACAGAGTAGGACCCAATCAAAAAATTAAAAAAACCCTCTGATTAGACCTTTAAATTATACACCAGTCAGAAATGCTTGTCTCATATTAGATTCCAGCCTAAGGAAACCTGGGTGTGGTGGCTCATGCCTAGATCCCACAATTCAGAAGACTGAGGCAGGAGGGTGGCTATGCATTGACGGCTAGCCTGGGCTATATAGCAAGTACCAGGCTGGCTAGCCAGGACTAAATATCAAAGAAACAAAAAATTGTCTAAAAATAATGATAGGAAATTATTAAATCAACAGATTGGTAGATATGGAAGTGAGTGACTTTCAAATTTTTGGAGGGGGAAAAAAGCCTTTCTAAACTAAATAATTTCACTGAGGAATTTTTGATTAGCTTCGTTATCAAGGGGAGGTGTGTGACCATTTTCCTAACTAGGCAGAAGAAACAAGACAAGAGTTCCCCAAGCATGCATGCGCACATGCGCGCGCGCGCACACATACACACACACACACACACACACACACACACACACACACACAGAACCATTTGTGACTTAGATCAAATGTGAGAATTACATTCCATTAGTGGATGATGACATACCTCACTCAGCAAAGAAATCAAAGCACAAAACACAGTCCAGTTAACACTCTGGACACACCCCTTCTTCATATGCAGCCACAAGTGTATACAATTGCATAGATGATTTTTTTTCCCCCAGAAAAAAAAATATAAGGAAAAAGGACAATTGGTGAAAGATAGTCTTCTGGTTTAAAGCTCTTAGAAATGGCTCTGGTCAGAGCATAAACTGTCCAGACTTGTGCTTTGTGCAAACTGCAAGGGAGCTCTCACCACTGGGGCCACTCCACCCCTCTGGAGAACAGGGTTGGCTCAGGAAAAGGGAGAAATCCTAAGGCAGATCTGCTCACTGGGCTAATCTGGGCCTGTGGCTACGGTTCACTAAAATATATTTCTCTAGCTACCTTTATAAAAGGCCCCTTCCCATACTTCAATACCAGTCCTAATATCAAAAATATTCTTCTTACAAAGTATTTTTTATTATTTTAATAAACTAACCATAGATTAAGGTCAGCTATGGCTTAACAAAAGAAGCCAGGATGTTAAGTTCATTCTCCAGCAGTAGACAAGAAGGAGAAAAAAAAAATCACTTAAATGGGGACAGGGAGTAAGTAATTTTTAATTTTTTTGTCAGGATCTTATTTCTTTTTCTTTAAAAAATTAGTACACTAAGCTGCTTTCACTAGAAAGGCAGCCGCAGAGGATGAGAACTCTGTATAGGGTTTTGGTATTGTTTCAAACAGTCTGGCCGAGCGCTGGCCTTCCTCCGCCTTCCTCAGTGCACTCAAACCCCACATATAGTTATTGCTAAGTAGTTAAAAATAGATTCCTCTGTACCCACCCACCTGAAGAGAAGCCCACACA